GCTGGGCTCGTTGTGTTCACTCCCAGGGGAACTACTTCGAGGGTGATGGATGAATTTAATACCTGAGATAAGTGTACGGGTTTTTATAGGCGCAGTCTTGAAACTTTCCGATCGCACCTCGTACAGCATTAGTCTTGTTATTTTTGTGTTAGACCTTGTACGTATAATAGGTGTTCATATTTAGATGTTTGATTTGCAAGCAAGAACTAAAATAATATTCTTTATACCACATAACTTTCTCTCCTTTACTTCAACTGTTTAAGCTCCAGTCTCCCTTCTGCTTCTATTGTCAGTGTTTTTAGTATTGGTAATATTGCTATCCATAACAGCGAAAAGAAAACCATTTTCTACATACATATTTAAGTTTCGAAGAGGAGGATCATCTCGTGTATGAGTAAACACTGTATTTCAAGGTGTTACCTAGAACAACCAACGTCTTCTGCCAGGATACCTGGTGTCAATCAAAACAAAGACCCTGAACCTCAAGTACAAGTCAGATGTATTATCACTTGAGCGAATATGTTTGGCTCCTATACTGTCCTTCTGGGGAATAAGTGTCTGTCACAAACTGTGTAATACCTGACTGTTATACTCACCATGGTTCCCCATATCACTAGCAGTTGTAGGTATTGTTTGCCAGTGTGTCCCTTCAGGGAAAACAGGTGTAACTTCTCTGCGTACAGAGAGCTGACCTGAAGAATCCAATCCCCACACAGCACAACAACCAACTGAGATTTGTTTCAGTGTCTTCCCTGTAGGTGGTTCCACAGTCACCCACACTTCACCTAATACAATAAAAAACAAGCAGCTGTAGTACAGGTTAACTTCTATTATACCTCTCCACCATTTAAAATACTAAATTTGGCGAGTAAGGTGGATCAGAGACCAGCAATAATTCTCTTATGCAGAACTTTCACTTTTCTGGCCCTTGCTCTGTAACTGCGTCTCTCAGGCATTTCTTCAAAACATCCAAGTAAAACACCAGAACATCTGACATGAAAATGAGCAATAATACCATGAATACATGATGATGAGTCTAATGGACTGCTGGAGCATAAAACCATGACCATAAATCAAACAAACCATTCATATATTCTCATCCTGGTGAGAGTTTCTTGTCCAAATGCAGGTTTCTGTGGTCACAGTTCCAAGTTTCAGACAGCATATTTACAAGCACGCACACACATACTTTCATAATGTCAGCCATCTCACAATGTAATGTGTAGAAAAGAGCCTTTATTCAAAATGATACAAAGCAGTGACTTCTCTCCAGATGGGACAAAGTCAGAGAGACTTGTCAACAAAGTATTCTATTGTATAAAGTGAAGCTTTCACGGCAACAGAAGTTGATGAAAGACTCTTGGACTACAAACCGCGTCAGGTGGCTAAAACGTTGGCAGAAGATATGGTTTATTCACCCTTCAGCCACCTGATGTAGCTTGTAGCCTGAGAGTCTTTCATCAAAGTATTCTATTGACTGTTACTGATACTGACTAAAATCAGACCCAGAATTTTATGACCTGCTATCTTTGAAAGTATTATCTTTATTTTGTTGATCACAAACTGGCATCACAGAACTTTGTAAGATTCTTCCCTGACCCATAGATGTTATTAGTAACTCATAACTCATGTGTGTGTGTGTGCATTGCAGAACAATGCTGTGCTGGCAAACAAAGGGAAAAAGGTTCCTGGGAGTTGGAAACTGTAAGCAAAGTGGCAGTAAGACTGCTCTGAATGGTGATGAATATATTATGATACTTGTACTGTTCTGATGTGAGGCATATGCACATTTTGCTTGACTGATCACACACACACAAACAATTTTAAATTTATGGGGAAAGTATTTGAAATGGGAATTATGATTTGGGGGCCATACGCCATATTTAGAATGATCAAGAAGCATTACTTTCTTGTTCCATTGATGAGACTGATTTGATGTTGCAAACTAAAACATTTCATTCTTGTACTTGGGTTTTTACAATGAGCCGGTGTAGCTCAGTCAGTATAGTGACTAGCTAAGGGCTGGATGACCGGGGTTCGATCCCCGATGGGGGCAGAGGATTTTTCCTCTAGCCTCTGCGTCCAGACTGGCTCTGGAGCCCACCCAGCCTCCTGTTCAATGGGTACCGGGGTCCTTTCCTGGGGGTAAAGCGCGGCCGGGGCGTGATGCTGACCACCTCACCCCCATCTAGTGTCGAGGTCAAGAAAGAGTAGGAGCTATACCTCCACTCGCCCCAAGCGCCTGCATGGCATGTAGTGGGACAGCTTTAGTTTCCTTTTTACTTGGGTTTTTACAGCTGGAGTGCATGTATAAGCAGCTTTAAAGAAGGAACTGCATGGAGTGTTGCGTATTAACCAACGTTTTGCAGTCACCATCTTCAAGATGAAAGTGTAGTTTGTCAAGTCTTGGAAATTTTATGCAGGGTAGGCTATAGGTGGTGAGTTAGATTTTGGTTAATACTCAGCATTCGATATGGTTCACACCTGACAGCTGAAGTTATACAGTGAGCTCCAGCTGCAAAAACCAAAGGAAAAGGAATTACGTATCTTGTCATTTTCATAAAATATGAATGATATTCTTCATTTCCCTGCTGTATCAGAAGGAACCATTTAGGTTATGAGTCTGGTAACTGTGTTAAAATAAAATGGTTGCTGCTACTGTGGCTGCACTTACCAATATGATTTGATGTTGTAATTCCAAATCTCCAGTATGCAGAGCCATTCCTGCCAACAGCCCACACCTGCTTGTCTGCTCCACAGCTGATACTGGCCAGTGTGTGATCACTTGGTACATGTTCCCATGATGTTCCCTGAACAAGGTCCATTTCATTGTAATCTTTTGGGTACCGTGCTGCATTAAGTTATACAAATTAACAATGTTTTGAAAGAACTTGTTGCCTTTTTCATCAGAACTGATAACACAGGCTCAAGTTCCTCTGATATATAGTTAACTTTTACCACTTAGACACAATGTGACACACAGAAGACTAGAATGAGAAATTTTTCCTTTAATCTGTCCATCTGCCATGGAAATCTTTACAAATAACTTTAAATAACCTAGCTCTTTAGGCTAGAAGCTTCAGTTTTGGCAGATGGAAATTCTATATACACCACATGTCAGTTAGAGTGAGTCTTGGTTGCATGTTTGTTAGAAGGAAAAATATTAGAGAGAGAGAGAGAGAAATAGACATTTCTGCGAAAAACAGACTTGGTGAACAGACATAAAGCAAGTACAGGAAGTGTCTCACTACAGAATTATCTATTCAGAAAACATCAGCAAGCACTGTTATTTGTCTTACAGAAAAGAAGTAAACTGCATGATTTTGCTTTATAAAAAGAAACAGATATAAGTACTTAATCCTATAAGAAAACAAAGCTGTGACAAAATTAAACATTCAAAGAGAAAATTACTAATGTAACTGCACAGAATGTGGTCCTAGTAAGCAACAAACTAACTTCATGGAGAAGATTCCTTCTTGAGAAGCTACAGTAGGCTCAGCTAGCCAAGAAATTTCCCACCTGTGTTCACATGACCTTGTCACTGATCCCTGTTCTGTCAGATGATTCCATTAGACACCCTCTGGCCCTAAATCCCTAATATACATTTTGATGTTATCCTCCAATTTACACATTGGTCTTTCAAGTGGACTCTTTCCTTCCAGCTTTTCCAACAAAAATTTTGTGCACTACATGCCCCAACCATCTCATCCTCCTTGAATCTACCACTCTAATAATATTTGGTGATGACTGCAAATTCTCCAGCCTCCTGATTCTTCCTTCCTCTTAGGTCCAAATATTATTCTCAGCAAACATCCTTAATCTTTGTCCTTCCTTTAACATGACACATCCAAGTTTCACACAAAACAAAACAAGTAAAATTACAGTAGTAACATCAGCAGTAGTAGTAGTAGTAGAAGAAGAAGTAATAGTAGTGTGTTTATAAATGCATCAGCTGCTATGGCTATTCTACTAGTTACACCCCATGTACAATAAAAGGTTAATGTAAAACACTTATAAAATGTGGAAGAGGTCAGTGGCTTGTAAAAGGGCTATAATGTGGGTTAAGATATCAGGGTTCTCATTCAGCATATCACTAATGGTGCATGGCAGGCAAAAGCTCTCACATCTAACAGTATATGAGGTGTGATAAGTTCCTGGAAATGTACACCATTGATCCGTCCATCAGAAGCCCATGTGCAAAACTGACTGTGCTCCATATAGTATGAAAACATCTCTGTACAATGTACAGATCCTAGGGAAGGTGTCTGGAGGGGTACGCACCTTGGGAAGGTTACAGAAGCGAGTATCACAGTAGTGGCCTGACTATGTATAGTAATGTGAGAAATTTGAAACAGATGATGGGAGGTATGGCAATACAGAATGCATCCATGAGCTCCTAGTACCTAATGCACGCAGGATTGCTTGTCTTGGAAATGAGCAAAAACTTTCCTTGTAGAGGGGGTGGAATACTATTCCACAGGAGGGGCATTTCATAACAGTGCTCAGATTTGTGGAATAACTAAATGCTAAAATTTATTAGAAACTAGCAAGCAGAGGTTCCTCTGACTCTGTGTACAGACTTTTCACATTGCTAATTTTAAATTTCCCTGTACAAGGACATATTGCAGAACTGTGGATAGGACTGATAACAGATAAAATTCTCTTGGATGCAGAGGCAGAGATAAAGGGTCTGTAGTCAAGCCATGAATGAATGAAACCAATAAAGCCTAAGCAATTCTGTTCTACTTGCTTCCTGAGAGGCTCCAGTTAAAATATGTACAATGTTCACTGATCAATGACACTTTGCCTGGACTAGCTGTACATATGATGCCCATGTGAGCCAGCTGTCCAAAATCAGTCCTAAAAATTTAACAGTCTTCGAAAATGGCAGGAGGTTGTTTTCTAATTAAAAATTTAAAAAATCCTGGGATATGAGAATATTCCCATGAGCTCACAAAAATGGAAACACATAGTCTACATGATGTAAAATTTAAAACCACTCTCCTGACTCCAATGTGACAGCTGTTTGATGGTTAGCTGGAGTTATCATTCAATGGTTGGAAGGATTTAAAATTGTAAATAGATAAGTTGTTTACATATAAGGAGCACATAACAGGGTGATGAACCTCATAAATGTCATCGATGGCAGTGGCAGATGGTAACACTTAGGACTGACCCCTGGGGGATTTCACTCTCATGTGTGCAAGAAGGGGACAGGATAGTACCAAGCTGGACTGAAGATCTTCTATTAGACATGAACTTGGATAAAAATAATTGGGAAATTAATTGTCAGTGATCACAGTCCCTGTCCCTCAAAACTGTGTTATTCCTACAGGAAGAAACTCTCCAATATACACTGTCTTGATATGGCACACATTTCTGGTACATAACCCTGATATTTGAGAAACCTGCCCCTGTAGAGATATAATACAGGACCCAGCTATCATTTGGCATGCAGCTGATGGAGGGTTTCCTAGATCAAGGCCAACACAGTACCACATCACAATGACAGACATTTCGTTAAGAGAAGAAATATAGACTGTAAACAGAAAGTGCAGTGTTTAAGAAAAAGGAGTGTGAATTGTGCAATGCTAGACTGTGTTCTGAAGACTACCACACTAAACTGAATTTCTGAAAGCTGATGAGCACTACAGTGCATTTCTCCTTATGTCAATGAAAATCCACATCAGTGGTAAGTTAGCTTAATTTCACATATATGTATTAAATACAGTTTCCTACAATTTTTACCAGTTCTGAACTATATCATGTAATTTTGACAGGAGATATTAAATTTGAGTTAGAAATTTGCACTTATCATCTTTAGTATTTTAAATATCTTCTGTCTGCAGGGAACAGAGTCCCTCAAATGTCTGATATCAATGATAGGTTAAAAGGGCTCTTGTGAATATGGTAATAAACCTCTCAGGTTCCACAAATAGTATAACATTTCTTGAACAGCTACCACTTAAAATTTCACATTATTTACAATTTCTCTTAGACTGGCTGTGAACCATCATTCAGTCATATTCTATACTGACAGCATCAAGCAGCACAGAATGGAAGAAAATGGCTTAGCGGAATAAGGTACTATCCTAATACAACCTGAGGAATTACGAACATCAATGAAAATCTTTGGTCAGGATGCCCAGATACTGATCATGACTTCATATCTGTTGCCCACTCAATGCGTGGCTGATACTTACTGATGGACATGAACTCGAAACTCCCCTCCTATACACTACATCACCATTGGCTGCAACTGCCCACACATCAACCAAACTGTCTATGTCATCTTTGTTGCTCACCTGTCAATGAAAATCACACGCAGCAAATGCATTAATTTATTCATTCAGAACCAGAGTTCTATACACATACACTGAGCATGGACTTGAACACTGTAAGATGGATTCTAAAACCCCCAGCAAGCTGTGTTATGACCTTCCCTGGTTTCTGGTCACCTTAGACAAATCTGGAATCCAGTTCAGATGAGGGAACTCCCATGGGGCTGTTTCTGTTACTTGTGACAGTTGGGTTACCATAAGATGATGGGACATACAGTATAGCATATGTTCTTAACCGCCACCAGGGCCTTTCCAAAGTTTTATCTGTGAGCAGAAACATCTGTAAACAGAAGTGACTGGAGACTGAACCCAAGACCCCAAGTCCCCAGTATCAGAGGCTTGTTACTTACACTGTGAAAATGGTCACATGACTCAGAATGCAACCCTTGATGTACATCACTGACAAATCAAACTGACTACTGAAACTCTAAGGATGTAAGGGAATGAAGGCATCATTTAAACACAACTTTCTACCAAAATGATAAGAAGCGTGGTCATTAAATCAATGTCACTGTCCTGTTCATAATAGTAAAGCACAACTTTATTCCATGTATTCTTTAAGGACTGTAAACTAATCCGTAGGTGGTGATGTAAAGAGGGAACCTTCTCAGAATGAAACAAAAACACCAAAGTGTGAAAAAACAGGAAGCTATTATGTATTCAGGGTGAATATCTCAAGAATGGAGGCATAATGGGCCTTAGAAAACACAGACTGACTTGAAATAAGTGAAAAACAATGTAATACTGCTTCAGATGTGACATATTTATAATTTACCATGAGAAAATCGGGTGTTTCTTATGACTTTGGAGTAGTAGGAAAAGCACTGAATATTTCAGGAAATTTAAATTTGAGTACAGTGGAGAATGAAAACCCCAAGAACTCTCTGGATTCAGTGGCATCTGCATATTATTTTTGGGAAATAAAATGGTGATCCTTGGAACAAATGTATAAAGTATTTAGTAAATGATTGCAAATAAAATCCAATGTACTCTTTACTAATCACCCTGTGTGTCAATATCTTCCACCTCTCCATGAAGACAATTACAATTATCTAATTATTCATGTGTCAACTGATTACAGGTACCTTAGGAACCAGCCTTGAGATCTCTGAAATCTGAACAGTCACACCATACATACACACTTTCTTATGCAGCTCTCCCAGTCCCCCTAAATATATTTTCTTACATTCAGTCACTGTTATTTTACAGCTAAAAAATGCAAGACAATCACTTAAGCGAAGTGGCCAACCATACTCCTACTGGCTGCACCCCAAATTTACACCATAAATACAACTCACAACAAACCCATACAAAATGCTATCCAGGATTGTAAGAAGATAATAAAGTATTTCATACAGTTTATTCTACATCACACTGATCAACATCAACAATAGAGAATCACTTATCATAACTAGAACCCTGAATTGTAAACACTGATGCATAAATAGTACACCACTCTCAAATACAACCAAATTGTCAAATAAAAGATGTTGGGACAGAAGTCTGAGCAGAATTGACCACTCTCAAATACAACCAAATTTTCAAATAAAATATGTTGGGACAGAAGTCTGAGCAGAATTTTAAACATCTATAACTTATCACATGTCTATGTAGACAGCATTAATTTTTCCACCAAGCAACATATGCTACTAATTTACTGATACCTGAAGTGAAATATCCACTAGTTTAGTATTCCCCAGCTCTTGCCAAGGTCCACTGGTGGAAAGCTGTGCCTTCCTCACCCAACGCCGCCTTCTCACATAATCTGTGAAGTGCTTCTGACCATGGTACGTGGCTGGAAAGTCAATGGCATACTGCCAACCCTCCTTATCCACACCACCTGGTGTATGGTAGTCAATGCTCCAGTCTGACACCTTCAAAATAGACAGCAAACTTAGACTGTAAAGTATATTTCCACAAAATAGAAAAGAAAGAGTTAAAGTGGGGTAATCAAAAAAAGTCTTGAGTAATCAGGTGATTCTTCAATTTTATTTGTACATCCCTGTGTGACACATTAACTGCTTTTCTACACAGACCAAGTGGAGAACAAAACACGACCTCACTTTTATTTTTCCTGTTCATAGAAATCAGCGTCTTGTCCTTTCAACCACTGGTTCTATGTAGTTATGACATTTAAATCTGTGGACTCCCAGATATTGCTTCTTCTCTTTAAAGAAGTGAATCACTCAGTCTTTCCACATACAATGCAGAAAAATAGTTTACCTGGGATACAATGACATTGTAGTAGCCATATGAAAGATACAGTGAATAACTTCAAGATATGATATGCCTTGAGAAATTCCTTTCTGACAGCCCCTTGTAGAATCAAGGTAACTTAATGCCAGTTCACAGCTCTACAGTCTAAGTCTGTAAGCTCCATTGTGGCATACTTGCTGCTACTAGCTCACTGGCATTTCAATCTAAATATCCAAGTCAATGTCTGCATAGTTGGCTATTTCATCACCAGAGTGTAGGACAAAGTCATAATATAAAAACAGCTAACCATTCTTTTGAGATCATGACAAAGTTCAAATACCTAGAGATGACAGCAAAAAAATTGCATTCACAACAAAATTAAGAGCAGATTAAATTTTGAAAACGCTTTAAACATGAAGTTCAGAATATTAATATTTTTCAGCTACAATCTAGAAATTTTTTGTTTTATATGGGTTGAAATTGGGTCCAATGTATTCAGGGAAGAATATGGACTGATGGTGTTTAACCTTTCACATTTAAATTCTTGCAGTCTATGCACACATAGAGATTTATATGGAATTTAAACCTCAAAGTACTGAATGTTACAAAATACAGTGTATTTATTGCATTTTATAAGCTAAAAACTCTACCATTGACAGCGAACACATTTACCTGCACATGAAGTTTCATAATCAGTCTCTATATATACACCTACTTTATATTGTTCAGTATTTTTTACTTTTTTCCATGTTTTAATTGATTATTCTTAAAATTGAATCCCATAATGTAAGTTTAAGATGTCTTGGATGTCTTGGAGTTGAATATACTTGGCTTAGAACTGCTACAGGCAGGTTTGTTTGGTCTACCAAACCTCACAGTGAAATTAATACAACCTTTCTCAGTTCTTAAGTGGCTGTCTTCTGGGTTGTAGCACTGTGTAGTCTAGTAGAAATTCACCAACATTTCAGAGGTCCTCACTGCCTCCATCATCAGGGCAATGGCGATGGCTATGATATGGCAGCAGAATTCATACTATATGGGCAATCTTGTGCTTTCAGAGCCTGGACCAACTGAAGCTTGTATGGTTTCGTAAGTAAATGCTTCAGATGGATATTGGAGATGGTTGTTTGAAGTAGCTGCAATTCATGACTAACTTGGCACACTGACTTTTGTCAGTTGCACTGAAAGCAAATCTGAGTATGATCTACAATTGCATCACAGAGGGCTGACCAGGATTCTTGCCTTTGTAAGTGCACTCTTTCTGCTCGAATTTCTTGTACCAGGCATAAATGGATACTCTGCTGGGTAGTTTCATGTAATATTGTGTGCGAAATGCGTGTTGCACAGCTGTTACACAATCTTTCTTTGCTAATTGCAGAACACACTCTGTTGTGGAGTAGCCATTTTCTAAAATAGTGGCATCTAGCAGAGCCATGCAATAACAAAAACAACAACAATCACTCGGGTCATTTTAAACAAAACTTTTGAGTTTCTTTCTATTGACTGGAGTACACTGCATATGTTTTCTGCATATCTTTTGTGCTCAATGTGTACAATAAATTCCACAGTGAATTTATTAACAATAAATTACACAGTGAATTTATTAACAATAAATTACACAGTGAATTTATTAACAATAAATTACACAGTGAATTTATTAACAATAAATTACACAGTGAATTTATTAACAATAAATTACAATTCTGTGCTTTCTCATATGTTAATTTCTTTTATACACAGTGAGTCAGAAGTATGTTTACAAACTTTCTGTGTGTGTTTCAGGATCAAAAATAAGAAAAGATGTCCCTATGAACATGGGCTAGCAAATGTTTCATTTTCGAAATAACAGCCAAAAATAAGTTTCAATGAACGACTTTATGTCAAAGTGAATCCAGCTTCCAGCAAAGATTTTCAATTAACGTTTGGCAGAAATTGTTGGCATCATGCTTATTGGTCCACACATGCTTCCATCGCGTCTAAGAGGACCTTCAACACCCTGGAGTGTACGAACGAATCCATGAGTCTTGTGTACGTTGTGTTCGCGCATGTGTGGAGAATGGAGGAACAACCTTTGAGCATCTGTTATAAAGAAACATCCCTGTCCTTATACTTGGCAATAAAGGCATACATTTAAACTTATTTTGGCTATTATTTTAAAAAAGAAGCAGTTGTGACCACATGTTCATAGGAACATTTTTTCTTATATTGGATCCAGGAACACGCACACAAAGTTTGTAAACATACTTTTGACTCACCTGTATATATTCGTGAAGCTGAAAAATGCAAGACTCAGTGTCTGGTGTTGATGGTTTAAAGGTATGCTAGTGCAATGCATTGTCAGCTCTACCACACTTTAATCCACAATGTATGGCTAACAGAAGTTAAGCAGTGTGTATGCTTCTATGCTTCTGTTGTACCTAATCTACCCTATCTCGTCTAATATTTTACTTCATCTCTCAATCTGGGATGAAGACCGACAGTTTATACCTCAAAAATTTTAGACAATAAAAAATACCACCACATGATGTTTTCTGCCATGACACAGAAAGCAACTGCTATTTTCTTCCACCCAGCTATACAGTTTCCTTCAGATGTGGGCATATATGAGATGGTAATACAAAAATGAACATTGCAAAATTGGGGTTGACACAGAGGATAATATCTCTACTGAGTACATGGCAGTAAATGTGTTTGTTATTCTCCCATCCACATCTAAACCTCTGAAGCAGTCTTATCCACTGTGGTCTTTTTACTAACATCCACCCACACATGCTGTGTCCTACTAATCTCATTCTTTGTGTGCTTTCCTAACTCATCAACATCTCTTACCCACTGCCAAATCTCAATCTTTGTGTGCTTTCCGAACTCATCAACATCTCTTACCCACTGCCAATGCATGGAGAGAAGCTTCGTCTTTTCCCTTGTGCGCTTGTGTCTACCAGTCACGTCACTCCACATGTACCTGTCTGTGGGCAAACCATGGGACGTGTAACCAGTCAGGGGGTTCCACCGCTGGTTTTCATATACATAGTAACTGTGGGTATCTGTCATGGGGTTGATACCAGAGCTGCTGGTCTCTAGTCCTGTACAAACAACACAAACAGATACTCTGTTAGGCTACAATACAAAACAATCTCTAGCAATGGTCAAAACTCCTGCTTTGTATCTTGACAGGGAATTACGATAGCCTCCACAAATTCTTATGAAAAATATTGGGATAGTACCCTAAAATTTGCCATAATATATTAAATCCAGATGCTGTTTAATGTAGTGTTCACAGTCAACCTTCCACTTAACACTACATATATTTTGCAGTTGAGAAAGCATTGTTAAATAAAAAATCAAACACAGACCAAGACTGTGATAAATCAACAACTGCTCAAGCCTCTCAAGACACTTCAGGAGCAGTGACAAGTGAATATGGAGCATACATGGAATGATGATTGGCAGATAGAAATAAAAGTGCTCTGAAAAGAGGTTAAATTCTGTTCAAAAGAGTACATGAAAAGGTATCTGTTCGTCATCAGAATATGCCTGAAGGAAATATGTTTACACAGTATTATATCTGAGCATATGTTGTAGTTTTAATAATACAAATGAAGTATAATGTCCGTCTTGACACAAGAAGAAGATGCACAACCTTCACAAGTTGAGTGACTTATTTCATTTCACACTGCTGAGCTATGTATTTCAAACTCATTTATCTTCTGGCCCCTAAATTGTTACACAACATACACTATTACATAGAATGATAAAGTCAGTTATATGTTTTGTTTGGACTTGTATTATGGTTAAAATATTAAAATGTGCTCTGAGCTTTGTCTTGTATCCTCTTGGATCAAAGTCCTATGGTGTAGTTGTGTTATGTGCATTCTGATGTACATACACTACATTTCATTGTTCTATTGGGGGGGGGGGGGGTTACTTTATCACTGGCTTCTCTGTGAAGTATCTTTCAGATATGAACTTGATCTGCAACAATTGTGAAGTTATTTTTTTTATTCTTTGTACTTATTATGTGTGTTGACTGCAGATTGTAAGTGGACTGTTAAGGCATTGTGATGTACATTGTTTATGAAAAGTAAGTAGGTGGAGTAACTAAACAATACAAGAAAGATGGAGTTACAGCTACCTACAGGTATTTCACTGAGATGTTTGTTTTGTTCATATGGACAATATACATTATATTTTTCATAACTGTCCAAACATTTACCTTTTCTAGCTACTTGTATGATTTTCATCCTACCTACAAAGTCATGTGTCTACAATATGCATGGTGTATCTAGAAGATACCCTGTTGTTGCATATTGCTCATGTACTTCCTTTGTATATACATAATCTGGAACAATGAAGTGCTGTGTATGTAAATCAGAATGCACACAACACAGCTACAACATACGACTGAGATCCAGAACATAAAAGACAAAGCTCAGAGCACATTTTAATATTTTAACCATAATACAAGTCTGAACAAAACATATAACTGACTTTATCATTCTATGTAATAGTGTATGTTGTGTAACAATTTAGGGGCCAGAAGATAAATGAGTTTGAAATACATAGCTCAGCAGTGTGAAATGAAATAAGTCACTCAACTTGTGTAGGCTCGTGTCAAGACGGACAACATTATACTTCATTCTTGTGTTTACACAGATTTATCTCACCTTTTAAAAACGATCCACCCCAACCACCAGTGTAGACCCACGCTGTGTTATCATAACCAATACCCCAAGTTACACCTGCAGAACATGTTTCCACTTTTCTCAGGTGACCACCCATCTGTCTCCAGAACATATCAGGAGGTGGAATAATAACCTGTAAAAATACTGCCTCACTTAGAGTCAAATCACATCCTTATCCAGAACAGCAGTAAGTAGCATGCCTGTATTGTACTTTAGAAGTACCTACTACAAATCTTGGAAGGGGAGTTGGGTAATCTGACTGAGGTTATTAGGTTATTGTGTTCTAGGAGATGTTAGTAATGGGCCCAGTCCTTTCCAATTTAATCTAAACATCCTTGCAGTTCGTACGCCAGTAACATCAGTAAGCAAGCTAAATATAAATGCGTACCTATAAGAAATCACAATTCCTAAATCTTTTTCTAGCAAAGAGACAATGAATTAGGCAAAATAATGGTATTCATGAGGGCAAATTCACAAAAATATAAAAATGTTCAACATTTCAGGAGTTAAATTAAACAGAATAATAAAAATGGATGGATGGTCAGTTGATGGATTAAAGGCATGTCAGCATCTTTGGCTACATGCACCTCCGTAAAATCTGATAAAAGAATACACTCTTCCTCACCAGCAAGATTCATCATTTTCCCACATGAATCATATACAAAAATGCAACAATAATGAGTAAACCAAACTGTACAGAGACCTTTCATTTAAAGTGGTATTAAAAATGCAAAGGAACAAGGTAAAATTCATTCATATCCCACCAGGCTGGTATGATAAAGTGCAATAAAAACTATAAACCAGACAAAAATAACAACAGAACTAACTGTGCTGTGAAGATGGAATGTAACATGGTTTTCGTTATAACATTGGGATTCAACTGGAACATGTGGAACAGAAAGGACTGTATATCAAATCTAAAACTTCTTGACGATGGTGAAGAGTCAATTGAATAAAATTTTTGGATATTATCCATCGTCTAGTAAATATAAAACGTAAAACGACGTTTCGGAGATGGGACTCTATCTCCGTCTTCAGGTTCCTACACAGTTGGGCCCACTAGATAGAGCTAATCCCTACCTCCAAAAATTTTATTCAATAGAAAGGACTGTGTTTAAAAAGTATGATAAATCCTGAGGCAGATGGAATGGAAGGAACAGATGGTTTTACTGGTCCTTTCAACCTGCTATGAGCATACAAGAGCATGATGAAGGAAGGCATCCACATCACTGCCTAGAGCTAAATCTGATATTAGGGGCCAGTGCAAATCAGCTGCGTCAGCAGCCTGGTTACCAAGCAGACCTGTACGGACAAGTAGCAAGCAAAATGTAACAGACCTCCTTGCCGTATGGGGATAGAAAACCTGAAACAGTCTTCATGGCTATGGAAAGGCCTGAATGGTCTGGAAAGTAACCACTGAGACTCCGCAAGGCACTCAGAAAGTCTGTGCAGAGGAAATGGCATTTCTAGTGCTAATGTTGAATGAACAAATCAGATCACAACAAGGCATGCAGTATGACATTATAAACACTTAAAACTGTGAAGGCAATAGAAAAATACCTACATGTTAATCCTGGAATAAAGACCCATACAGTCAGGACAGACTAATGTGTGTTTTGGGTAAGCAAAAAGTAGTTGCAAAACACCAGTTGTAAGGACAGATCTTATTCCTCTCACATGTCTGATGAATCACAGATTACAAGTTAACAGATGATTTGATATAAAGGAATTCAAGACACTGTTGTTTAATCAGGTTCTTCAGCTACTCAATATTTGTTTATACCATTTGTTTGTGGAAAACAAATATTGATAAATCTTAAGAAGATGGAACAATTGTACAGCCACAAGTTGGGAAGCTGTTATCTGTGTCATCAGCTCATATCATTATCACAGAGAAGACTCCCACACTATGAGAGTTTCTCCAAATTCCATACAGAAACTCTCAAGATGGCCTGTATGGAAAGCACCTCTGGCAAGTTAAATTCCTGTATTGTGTACATAGTGTATAATAAACAATTTGGACTGACACAAAAGATGCCATAGTCTATCTTAGATGAGACTTGGGAATGGTTAAGTCAAAGCATCACAATCTGGTCTCCACGACCCCATTAAGAGCTTTTTCCTGTAAACCTACAGATGAAGGCACTCTCCACATAACTGATAATCATTATTAAGAAAGTTACAACACATGGTCCAATATATCTCGGAAACATGTAGAAAGCATAAAATGCTTATCTTATTAATACATATATTTATTTTTCCAGTCTATACACAAAACTTGTTTTAAAATAATGTTGTTAAAATTATTTATAACATTTACAATATAAATTGTGGCGCTTTTCTGTGTCGTATAATATTACATTTATCACAGCGCTTTTGATTTCGACGACATGTTTCGATGTTTACCACATCATCATCAACAACAACATTATTTTAAAACAAGTTTTGTGTATAGACTGGAAAAATAAATATATGTATTGATATAACACAAACATGACGCAATTAAGATATAAATTATCTTATTAAGTTTCACAAATATTGACAGAAACAGTAATACTGACTGATTTATCATTAAAAGTTAAAATTCAGTCTTGGAGTATAAATCATTCCACTAAGAATTCCCAATATTAATTTTCATCAGAATCTGTTAGTAGAATATAAACATTCATGTCATAATCTACATATGAAATTACATGTAATGTCCAGTCTCCATGATCATTTACATTACAATAGGTACAGTACCACTCTTCTTTGGCCTAACATTTAACAAAATAAAAAATAAATATGGCAGCCACAATCGGTCAAAATAGTTTGGCTGTATAGATTATGTGCCTGCAGTCAAGCTTCATTCACAGTTTCAAGTATGGTATACACGCAGCAATGGGCTGGTCTTATCTGTTTTCACTAGGACAAAAGGGAGAATTTGTTTTATAATACAGGCTAAAAGAAACATGTGAAGACCTCATACAGGGCAAATGAATGAATAAAGCATGCTGTTATGGAGAGGAAAGGCTACTGATGACATTTAGTAAGTGCCATTAGATCTCTATACCAAAATACTACAATCATTTTAGATATGGAAGGAAGATATTCAAAAGACATTAAATTAACCAGGGAGTATGTTTGGGTTGTTGTCTGTCTCCAAACTTATTTAACATCTACTTAAATGATGTCATCTGAGACTGGAAGGTGAGAAGTAACCCAGGGATATGGTTAAAGGAAACAGTTGCCCTGAATACATTACTGTTTGCAGATGACCAAATTATAGTTCAAGAAAGCGAAGATAAACTGTAAAGATTTCTATATCATTTAAATAATATATGCAAAACAACAATTTCAAGATCTCAACAAATAAAACTAAAACAATGGCTTTTAAAAGCAAATATCGAATTCAAACAAAAATTGTAATAGGAGATAAAACGCTTGACACAGGACAACCATTTTAAATATCTAGGTTATGACATAACATTCCTGGAGGAAACAGACATAGATAATAAGTTTCCAAAATTCCAAAATATGTGTGGCACTATCAGGCGAACACTCAAAGGGAAAACTCGGAAAGATACACAAATAAAGTTTTATCAAGTGATGGCTTTTCCTGCACTACTATATGGAAGTGAATATTGAGCAATGAGGAAAAAAATTACAAACATCGAAAATGTGATTTTTAAGATCTGTGAAGAGATGTACAAGATCGGACAAAATCAGGAATGAAGATATATGAAAATTATGAGTACTTTCAGTCAATGACAGGATAAGAAGACACAAACAAGGTTGGCTAGAACACATAGAAAGGATGGAAGAAGGGCGAATACCAAAACAGGTCCTTTGGTATAGACCCAAAGGAAGAAGACATCCTGGAAGACCATGCCATAGGTGGATTTCATAGAAGCCGGAACAGGCAAATTCCAGAAATGTAATAAACAGTATTTGCAACAAAAATAAGGAAAGATTAAATATGTTTTAGAAATGATTTCCTTAAAAATCATGAATTGAGTAGCTGATGAGATATCAGAGTTTTACTATATCACTGCAAACAATATGCAGGCATTTAAAAACCAGTACCACATATGGTTTCACAGCTAACATTAAAATGACCATATTCAGCAGAGAACTTCCTACTTCAACATAAATTTCTGAAACAGAATCTGACTACAACCCTTTAGCAATGTGAGGCTGTCAAATGGAAAGATCATAAACGCTGAATCAATAAGAACATGGAACAAGATAAACACCTCAGTCAGGATAGTTATTAAGTCAGCCAACATTCAAACTAGATACCTCATAAACACATGTTACGAGTATTATAGCTACACCAAACCAATCAGTTACAGAAATAAATACTTTGTTATGTTATTATACGCACAAAAAGTTTTCAGAATCTATCAATAATTCAAATAATGAATTACTTACCATTTTGGATTGATAGATAACTTTATTTAGTGAGACACCACCATTTATTCCAACATGGGTAATGTTGTGTGGTTTCTGACGATGCACATAGTAAGTGTATAAGTTTCCATCCACACAAATCTGGAAATAATAACATCTGTTATACTACAAACTGAATATAAGTACAATAATTTAGAAAGAAGTTACACATTTTTACAATAATTTGAAAGAGGATTGAAAATACAGATGCACAATCATCAGTGTGGGTGTTCCATGTGCTCCAGTTAAATTTTGATATGAAGATGGATGTCTTTTGGGATGTTCACCATGTGTAGTCTAGTAAAAACTGGCTAATATGTCACCACAAATTTTCACATATTCCTCAAAAAGACAACCCCTGATACAGTATATTACATACCTTGAAACAATCATCCTGACAGTAAATATCAATGGTGAACTCTGTTCCTTGCTTGAAAACCATCTCTCCTTCCTTCTCCTCTGTTCCCCATTCACCACACAACATAGAATTTCTAACAATTACTGCCTCCATGAAACGTGGGTTGAAATGCAACATAATATCTGTCTCATTTTTGTGTCGCTGAGAAATAGATGGACACTGCAAATTGATGGAAAACCTACAAATAAAGCACACAATTACAATTCACTTAATTTTACAACTGTCTCAGAAACTGACACATTTTTTAGTGGGATTTGAGGTTTTCATGGTGATGAGTATGAAGATGGCAGTCTTCTGGTTTGTAGGCCACATAGTTTGGTAGAAGTACTCATCATCTTGATCATGGAGGTAGCAAGGACCTCTAAATGTTGGTAAACTTCTACCAGATTGTGTGGCATTACAACCCTGAAGACAGCCATCTACCATACTTTTTCTCTGTATATACACAATTTTACTCTGTTATTTATTAAAACCATATACATCAAGCTTGAAACAAACATTATAGTTTACAGAAGGATGATTAAACTAAAGCATTGCCTTAAATGCAGCAGTTTTAATTGATATGTTCCTCAACTTAAGAGAAGAAACATTTTATATGGCAGGTTACAGTGTTAAAACTTATCCTTTCAAGTCTGAAACACACATCTCTTATTGAAAGACATGCACCCCCATGTAAACAAGCAGATAATAACTCACTGCACCAGTCCAGTGGTTAATAATCTGCTTCATATTCACAAGGTACTTAGTTTATATCTGCTCACGAGACTGGCTATTCCAACTGAGTTTCTAGTCTATCCTTCTAGGCATTTTTCTAAAATAATCTGTGACCGTTTCCTTCCATATTCTTTCAAGTTCATCATTTGCAATCTTCCTAGCATTCGAGACTACACAACTGATAAAGCTGAAAAAGTGTTGTTAAATAACCCAGGAACAAATAAATCACTGAATAAACTGAAAACAAACTTCTCACTGTTCCATGTCAGCTTTACATGTGTTGCACCCTACACAGTCTTTGTTTAAGAGAAGTTTAACAAGAGCTTTCAATAATTTTCCAGTATATTTTGATATGAGAGCAGTTTTCAATGATATTGTATTATGTATTCAGCCATAGTTGCCTTACCGATTGCAGTCATCAGTCACGCAACCCTGTACTGTTAATATGGTCCCTGGTGGAAATCCATTATGAAGGTGAGCGTCATATGGTGTTTCTTTTCCTGCAACATCCAACTCCTGTGTGTACATTTCACCACTTAATTGGCTTACCTATAAAACAACAAAAGTCTTACTTACATTAGTGCTTAATGCCTTATTTCATTGAAATGCATGATACCTCATTCCATTTAGTTTCATTAAAATGCTGAAGAGGGATATGACAAAACGTCAACAGCTGAGGAGCAAGTAATTGCAAGACACTACAGATTCACTTAGATGAGGTAAAAGAAACTCATGAAATCCTATAATACAGACAATGAAACTCTAACCCAGACTTAAACTAAGTCACATGCACTACTGGTATGCTAATAACTTTTTCAGATTTGGAACGCAAGATATGCAAGTATCATTTGGGTGGATTTATTAGCATTTTTACTACTTTTAAATTTAGCGATTCTTTTTAATAAATCCAGTGTCAAGTTCTACTAACACTTAACTGTTCACCTGGCAATTTCAAGAACTTGATAAAACCAACAACTTTCTGGTGGAGTGTAGGTGTGTCTCACCTCGAGAACAGCAGGATCAAATACAAACACATCCCCTAGTCCAGTTGTGATCCAGATAGCACCAGGACTTGGTGACCCATGTACACCAAACATCTGGCAACACACTGACAAATGGAAGTTCATTACATTACACCCTAACATAATACCAGTATAACTGAAATATTTTTCACCCCCTATGCAAATACTATATATTCTTATAAAAAATTCTATAATTACAAATACTGGTATAAAAAATTTCAGTGCAATAGAATAAAATCCCATCTCCATTCAAAAATAGTTATTCACTTTAACAATTTTTTAAAGAATTATTTAGAATGTGTTATCCTTTCCTGAGGAAACCCTGTATCAGCAACATAAATAGCAATTCAGAATTAAAAAATACTACTCTTTTCTATCAAATAGTTTGTTTAATGTGTACTAGATATCACAAGGACATAAATCTCTACATATGCTGTAGTCTATATGTCAGCTAAGACAGAAACACTCTAATAACATTTGCTTGAAGCAAGCGGTGTAAAAATCTTTCAAATCTGTAATTTCCCTAAGATGCAATACAGTGCAGAAGAAGCAACTAGTGTTGAATATATTGTATCAGTTTTGGAGTGTGTGGGAGAAAATCTTTCAGAAGTAGAATCTAGTGAGAGTAATAAAGAATATTGTGGTATCAGTGATGCATCATCAGAGAGTGAACAAAGTGGCAGTTGTCAGCAGGTTGTAAAATGTGAAGTAACAAATTACAATCTGGCTTCTGGGTGTCTGTCATTGGCATGATGGTTGCTTGTACAACGACAGCATAATAACCTTTTACATACACAAATAAGGGTAATGTTAAATATGGGATTATATGGCTTACCAGTAACCTACTGTAATGCAGAGCCAGCCTTGATGCATGGCAAATAAAGGATAATTTACATAATCATGTAACACCATTCTAGTTTATGTTGTAATAGTGGGATGAATAATTGTTTTAACACTTTCAAATACTGTTACAAACACACAATGTGCCAATTATCAACAAAAAAATTAATTTTTACAAAAACAATAAATCTTGCACTATTAGTTCGGTTTCATGGCCTTTCATTATTATGAATATAAGTTGTCAGTTCACAAAAGGTTCCTACACTGACATTTTACATAATTCAAAAGTAATAAACAGTACCTTCAGATATGAATATGAAAAAGTATTCAAAACTGTTATTCATTCAGTGTTCATCAACAAAAATTGAGGACAATATTTTAAATGTCACTAATTCATTACTACCTTAGCCTATAAATTGGCCTCACTTCACACTCTACTCTCATTTACAACTGCAAACAATAACAAAAGAATGTAACCAGAGTAGAATCACACAACCTGCACACATGCCCAAAAAGCTACATTGCATTTATCGAGCTAACTGCCATTATTTTATTTGACATTTCATATTACACATAAAATACAAAATACAACTATAATAATGCTTTGATTTTAAGTTGACAAGTTTTGGCCTGTATTGGCCATCACCAGGTATATCAACAGTTTTTTTTTTGCAAAATATATTTGTTTTTTGAAGGTATACAGTAATATTAAAGTCATTATATATAACTAATTCCACACAATGTGATAGTATTTCAAATATAAATATATTCAAATAATAACAATTCTAAAAATTCATTGTGCCTTCATAGTCAACTTAGTACAGTTAAAATAACTAAATATAACTTCAACAATATGAGAGTTATACAGCTACAAATCTGTACATCATGATAGCGAGTTCTGCCCAGGACGCCATGTTTTTTTATTTATAATGATGCTGTCACAGATCAGATTATACAGCATCACATGATAAGATGATCAGTGAATAATTAACAGCAGAAGATGTGGAAGGAAGTGGTAATGGCCTAATGTTTTGTTACTATCTCAGCATTTGCCTGGATGAACTGAGGAAAAACATAAAAAACATAAATCATTTCAGCCAGTCTCTGGGCTGAAATTTGAACATCCCAAATAAAAAGAATTGCTAACCACAAGACCACAACATTCCAATATAAAGTCAAACAGCGTACTTAAATGTTGTACAGAACTTCTTTGTAGTTATGACAATAAGCATCTTTGCATTACTGTTCTACTACGCAATAATAGAGACCATATAAGGTGCTGTATAACTGAATTATGTAAATGAGCTTTGCCCACATATCAAACATTCAAGAAACACAATTTGCACAAATGAAAAATTTAGCACTTCAAATTTATTAAATACAGCTTCATAGCACTACATGAATGTGAAATATAATTGAATAGGTATCATGCTCAGTACAAAATTAATGTTCTTACAGTAAAAGCTTACTTTCCATGATGGTGGTAAAGATTACATGCAGTAACTCAAGCAGCAAATGAAGGCTTCACAAAAATACGTTTTTACGTAACACGTCTTACCTGACGTGAGGTTTGCCATCCAATCTTCCATGTCAGTCTCACCAATGAATTGCAGTTTAATAGGGGAAAAATCCTTTGTTAATTTAGGAGTATGAATGGCAATACGAGGCTTGGAAGGTTCACTACAGCAAACAACACATGTGATCTCTGACAAGCTGAACTGCATCTGGCAAGAAATCCAACAACACAATCAATTGTGACAGTTTTATGATCTGGTACACTGTATTAATAACACACCCTATGCTTACCTTCGTATGTTTCTTATCAAGACTCAGTACTGAAAGTGTACCTGAGTCCAATCTGCCTCTGTCACTGCCCACCCACTCCAATTCTAGCATACAATCCTCAAACTGATGGTTTGAATTTTTAAGTTGGCACCAAGCCTTCCCTGATTTTACCCACGATGACCTGGAAAAAGGAAACAGCCTGTTACAGTTTCAGATTGAAATGTATCCAGCTGTTGTGATGGCAGGCAGTAGCTGATCAGAATTTAAGACAAGCTTCAAGTAATGGAAGAGTTGTTTATCTCAGTGTATTAATTCCCAAGGGGAGTACTTAATTCAAATTTTGATCACTAGAATGAATCCTTATTTATAAATACCTCATATAAGGTGCAAATACATTTACAATAGAGTACATCCTCGGTTTAATGAATTCAGATTTAATGCACACCATCTGGTATTGCCAATCTTTTCTGGATGAGGCATTAATGGACATTTTCAGTTTTAACGGACAAAGTCCATTATATCTGAAAAAGTCTTCTAATGACCATTGATCTTTTCTTTTTCACTTATTTATCTCTCTAACTGCAGTGTTTTAATTAATCTTATGTCATTGTAGGTGTCCAGTTCATATTACTAATCTGCTTAATGGTGTTTCTAATGGAAATTATGGCCAAAAGGAAGTATTACCGGCATCATAAGAACAACTCTGCAATTTAATGCACAATCAGCATTCCCCGATTCCCCCCCAACAACAATCAATCTGTCAAACAGAGGGTTTAATCTATATTATTTTATTTATGGTTTTATATTTGTCTCAACTGACATTTACCACTTTCAGGTAAAAGTAACAGTTACAATTTCTAGCAATGCATTGCATAATTATTATGCATAAAGCATAATTTGCTATTTTAAACCAAACTGTTGGGAAGTCTGAAAAACATGTAGGCCTACATAGTAGGATTTGAGGATTTCACGCTGGTGAGTCTCAAGATGGCTGTCTTCTGGGTTGTTGCGCCATGTAGTCTGGTATAATTTTACCGACATTTCAGAAGTCCTTGCTGCCTCCATCATCAGGCGATGAGTAAGCCGCATGTTCCATCAATAAACCAATCAACCAATAAGCTAATGGCGGAGTCCTGCGCAAACGTGAGACATCATCCCTTGATAGGGAATACCACTTCTACGTACAAAATGCATTGCTGGAAATGGTAAACTGTGCCTTACAACTGAAATGGGGTGTGCTTATGATAATGGGGTTTTGTCATGGAAGAAAGCCTTGACTATTCAAACTAGGGTTTGTGACGCTGATGGGAGGTTATCCTGTCAGGCAACTTGCCCATTGTGAAAAGGATTTTGGTTGGACGGTTCTCTCACATTTCAACCCAGAAGGGGCGGGTTAGCTTTGGCTGATGGCCTCTGCAACTTGCGGGGGGGGGGTCACTTCAGCTGAAGGCCTCGACCACTTCCAAGCATAAAATCCCATCATTCAGCTGTCCCTCTGAAGTCTAAACACAGAGTGAGAGTGCAATCTGATGCAAGCAGATAGGTAATATTCAGCAGCAATGAGAGGGGGAAAGAAGGGAAAATAAAATAAAAAATATTAAAAAATGTTCTAGTAGGAGAAAAACAAAGAAATAAATTACAAAATTGTAAAATTAAAACTTTACAGTTCTTACTAACCTCACATAGTTCAAAGGAAAGTGCTTCCCAGAACCTCATTCCCACTGAAGTAAGCTAATGACTAAAAGCAAATTACCAGTACCACAACTTTAAAAAAGATATCAATAACAGATAAAAACACTTAAAATCATCCTAAGAAAACTGAAAGGTGTAGTATAAAATATTAGTTCCTAATACCCTTACATTAAAACATGTGACTCACATTTCAATTGCTTTCTCATACTTTTCGAAGCTTGATCTCTCTTCTGGTAACCGTTTCTTCAATTCTTGTAAAATTTTTACCCGCCAAGGCTTGAACAATTCCACTTCAGGCACCACATGGGCCTCAATAAACCTAAAAAAATTAAAAAAACTTTATAGCTATCAGCTATTTACAAATTATTAAACAAAAGATCTAATTACAAATAGGCCAATTTATGTTGCAGTTACGGGTATAACTGAATAAAATTCATGTTGAATATTAAACACTGCATAGCAGCTAACAATCTGTACATCTTACACCATAATGTTTGAACGATTAAATTACAATGTGAGAAACAAAACATTGCACAAAATTCTATAGGAAGATGTTCAGGAGATACTGACATGAATCACAAAATAATATTACGTGGATGTTAAGAAACACTGCAATGACATGAATTAGATGAACATGATTCCATATGAATGAACCACCAGGTCAGAATACAGAAGTTAGGAAATATTTTATTTTGTACCAACATTTGAGATCAAGTCATTAACTTTCTCCACTCATATGCCGGTATCTCGCAAAGTATGAGCTTCTAAGTTGACATGACTCTTCTCTATATTTAACTGTCATCTGTTAGTAAAAGTATTTTCTTATGTGACTAAGTCTTTTGATATGATGGAAAGTAATCAAATTTAACTGCTTTTAAAAAATTATTTGACTATAAGGGGCAAAGAGTTAACATGTTCAACCACTGCACTGTCTGATTCTTTGTTGGGAAATACTGCATAAAGTCCAAAGTCACAGTTAATCTTAAAAATATATACAGAGGGGCCCAAAAAAATGTATACACACTTCAACAAAACAAAAACCTTTATAAAAGCTTTAATACTAAATTTATACAGACATCAAGGGATGAGTATAAGTCATGTTTGACTTCTAAAATTACAACAGGTGCTCAAAGTGGTCACCATTAGTGTCCGGACACTTCTGATTTCGGCGAACTACTGGTTGAGCAACGTTGGCCAAAGTGCCCACTGGGATTGCTGCGCACGACATTTCAATTTCTTGACTGTCTTGTCAGTCGCATGGTGACTCTTAGCATTCATGTGATTAACGACATCTTATGAGAGAACATCATACTACACATTGCTACCGTAATTCGATTCAACTTCGAAAAAAGTCCATAGATAACATCTATTAAAGTGTGTATACATGTAGAAAAAATGCTACATTTCCCTGATTGTACAACTTGGCAATAGTTCTCAAATTCACAGTACTTTTGCAACATTTTGTCATGTTTAAGATAAAAAAGGTTACAGCCTAAATTAATATTTAATTTTAAGCAAATCTCTGTTTTTTTTAAATCTAATCACTAAATACAAATCCATGACTGGTTGCTTACTGGCTATAAGGTTCCTCCCACATCATCATTTCCTTGTATTACAGCACCCACAAACAAACTTAGGAAAACATGGAGCATGTAGAAAGAAGAATGAACACCTGGATGTTTGTAATGAAGTGTGAAGGCTAACTCTCTTCTCACCCTGCCTAACAGTCAGCCAAACAGGAAGTTAAACGGGCCTCACTATACAGACATATTGCATTTTGAAGTGGTAGTGCTGTGTTCTTATCAACACTTATCTGTTGTTTATTTATTTGTGTATGGCTACTTCAAATGGAAAAAGGAAAGTGGCCTATGAGTTTTCAAAGACAAGGCACTGTATTTAAATTGCAGTGAGACACTGCCAGTGGTGAAACCTTATAATATTAAGAGGCAATATGATATCAAACAAGGACATTTTCAGAGCAGTATATTACAACAGTCAAGAAACCAACTATCTGATCAGCAATCACTGGTTTGTTTTTTATCTTGTTGCAGTTAGTGAGCTCGTAAGTACATTCAGATAGGATAGTGTAATCTTGTTGGAGTAATTCAAACAGTCCAAAATAACAATGGTGTTCCCCTTGTCTGCCAGTACAATGTAGATGTATTTCTTCTCCTGGAGTTCTCTCAGAGCTGTTCTTTCTCATCCTGTGAGGTTTGAGTTTGGGTAGGCATTCCCTCTTCAGAATGTGCGCTGTCTCACATCTGACTTCCTCTGCAGTGCAGGATGGGAGATGGAGGCTTCAACTTCACATACAACATCTTCTATGGGTAGATATTTTGATGTGACAGCAAAGTCAAGGACTTATAAGCCCTCAAAATGGTTGTTCCACCATCACCTTTCTGAACATCATTGTCAATGAACAGCCACCACTCTCTTCAACACAAACACTGCAAATACTTTTCAGTCTATCATGGTCATCAAGACCTCCATTATTACATCCTCTTCTCAACCACATGCTCCTCTCCCACTGGGCAGCACCAACAAATCTATCTCACCACTCACTGCCTGCCTTATATAGGGCCTCCAGAACACTCCACTACACAAATCACTTGAAAATGGCAACTGCAATATTTGCTGAAATGCTAATTAACACAAAACATTCAATGCAACTCTTACCTGAAAGCCAAAATTATACAATGAACTCCAGCTGCAAAAAACTATCGACAAAATATTCCAATTCATTCCACATTCTATTCAAGGAAGTGAAATATACCTGAGCCATAGCATTAACAATCTTGTCACAAAGCTCACTCTTGAAGGTCCTCTGACATAGATGGTATGTATGCATTATCTATCACTATTCTCAAAATGAAAAGTCCAAGTGTCAGATAAGGTGATCTGGTATAGCTACCAAGATCTATCCATCTTCCCAGGAGTGTTTGTTTCAAGTACCACATCACATCCCTGTAATATTGCGGTGGGATCCCATCCAGTTGCCAAATCACACTGTTTACATCCAACTGTGGATTAAGGAAGTGCTATAGTACATCGAAGTACACGTGACCTGTAATGATAGCTTCTGCAAAATAGAATGATCCCTAAAACAGTGCTCTACTTACAGCACAAATAACTTGTTGCAGATTCTGTGATCACCAGATGTCCTCATTCAGGCAGTTCAGCATATCAATACCAAAGTCTCCCTGATGTGATTGAACATCGAACTTAACTCCCACAGCAGTTGAAAATTGTATGACCAGAAAGACAATCTCTTACACAACACCCTCCATACCCAATTCCCTGCTTATACGCCTCAGACTATGGAGAAATGATGCATGAACACACTCCATGGTCTCACCATTTGGTAGTCAGCCTGAACTCTTCTTCTTAGCACAAACACAACCTGCTTCAGCAAATGACCTGTGCTACTTCTAAATGGATTTCTTGTAGGCACTTCTTTACCATAATTTGTCAGAAACCACAATTATACCAAAGTTGCTGAATGGGTTTGTTCAAGCTGCAACACACACTTTGCCTTTTCCAAGTTAGTAAAGTATGACAATTTGATGGATGACTGCAGAGCACCACATAGTGGTGACATTGGGTACTAGGTTTCGAGTGGCACAAAAACTGAAGTTTAACAAAACCTCTGTAACAAACTTTCAGCTGATAGTACTACTCATATGGTCACAATATATTTTAAAAGCTGTATATCTTATTCTGTTACACTCTGTACTTTAGAGTTGTGTCAACAAAAAATTAACATGTATGCACTATGTACAGATGACACCCCATCAGAGAAGTTGCAATGATGATAAAAAGATGCAGAGGAATGTGGTATTCTCAATTGTCAACTTTAGCACAGGTACATAAATGTGGTGCACACAATTCAGAGAAATATAAACAGTGCATCATGCTGCTGAATGGGGAATTTAATTACACATATTCTGACTTCAAAGCAAAACAAATTTCAATAAGTTTTTATTTTTCTCCTTTCTCATTTAATACTATCTAACAGGAATAAGATTTCACCCAAAAGCATCCTGAAATCATCCTTTCCTAATGGTATCAGTAAATGACAGGACCTATGGCTGCGAGCAACTGCTCAGTTTAACGAAGAACATCAAATCGAGAATAAGGATGAGTTTTACTGATTGGCACTTGGAGGAATGCAAGCAAATGGCAACAGAAATTACACTTGATATTAACTGATTGTCATGTGTAAAGTGTCTCTACTGTTTCATTAATCAATGATTTTGTTAAAGAAAATTATTGAGCAAGAAATGTAAACAGCTCATCAGAATTGAAGGGGAATGATTCCTATCACATCATCTCCCATCCCATTTATTCTTTTCCTTTTTCACTCTCCTACCTTAAACTGCTTCTCTCCTTTCCATTTCCCTTTGTTTGTCAGCCCAATCACCATTCCTCTTCCTTTCCTTTATACTTTTTATATCATCCCTCTTTCCTTTCATATTCCTTTCTCTTTCCTTCCACATCTCAGTAAGTACTTAAATACATGACACAAACACACATAATTAAGAAAAGCAATATAATTACCTACTCTCTGTAATTTAAATCTAAAACAGTTTACAGATAACAAGTATCACTAGAACATGCCACTACAGAAGAACAGCAAAGAAAAATATCAGCAGTGACTACATATTAAAGTAATTTCAATGTCTTCCTCAAGGTCTGCATCCACTGAAATATCCTATCTGTGAACACACCCAAAATTTTCAAAATGGCTTCATGTAACAGATATGTGAGCATATTTGCAACAGTATCATTTTCTTAAACTGACATGATGTTTATAAACCTACAGCCCAAAAGCCAATAAGAAGGGGAAAATGTGGCCCAAGTCTTGAAAAGTTTGGGCACCCTTGCTGAGACATTGTAATTCTGGTTGACATCATGACCTATTAAATACTTACTTTGATTCAACAGTAACACTTACAATTATGAGTAATAAACATCTTTCAATAATTCTTTACACTGTGATAAACATGCAGGCCACAGCAAATCATGACTACATGCCTAAAGAAAAGATTTACAAACGATGTATGTAGTTTTTTCATTAAAACAGCACTTTTTTCTGTTATTGTTCAAGATAAGAATTTACCTTTATTAAAGTTTTTGTTTGCTCACCTGACTCTTACTTCTGAGATCTTTGACAGTCCTAACAGCTAAATCCGCAGCTTAATTTTGAATCTAGTAAATTTTTATGCAAGAATAATAATCATGTTTTTCATGCTGACAAACAGTTCAATATGTACTTAAGTATAGTGCAAGATCAGTACCCAGTGCATCTGAGTGTCACTGAGATTTTACTTTCTGCACAATCAATGATATTATCTGAAGTCAGTACATTCAAAATAATTAATTACCAATTTGGAGGATATAATGGGTCCACTGTACAAGCTCCAGCTTCCACCATACACCATGCCATGTCACCATCTGCCCAGTATATGACCTCTGTGTCCTCCTCTTCACCAAATACTCCTGAATCTCCAGATACAGGATCAAACACACTTCCATCAGACTCTGGGTGAGCTTCCATACCCACAATGGAACCTACACTTCGAATAGGACTCCACACTGTAGGATTCTTTTTTACTTCACCACCCTTCCCCACAACAAACACTGGCTGGATCTCTGTCACAGCACCTTCAGAGTGCTCCTGGATTAATGTTGAAGTATTGATCATCTCATTGCTGCTCTGACTAGACTGTGTATCCTCATCAAACCTGCAAATAAATATGCAGTCAGCCTTCTTCCTTCTTTGCAAATTTGTTATTCACTACGATGTCAACAAATTATATTATCAGAAGCAATCTTTAAAATATTTCCTTGCTGGATCTCCATCTAACCCATGTTAACTGAACCATTATCTGCACCATTGCTATGAGCTGTTGGCCTATATCCTAGGTTTACAGGCCAGCTGAGGCTTTTACCTCTAGTTCTGCTATTGTATTTCGCATTTCATGCCCCAGTTGATCAGTGGTATCTAAGCTTGAGGAAAGAGCCACCAACTTCTTTCTCTCACTTTCCAGGATACCACCACTCAGTACACTGGACCAAGTTAAACAAACTACATTCTTAGTAAGTACAAAAGCAGAGAACATAGCAACACATCAGTCTTTCTGAAGTGACCTTCAACAGAAACAAGAAAGAAGCACAATGCAGATCAAGTTCAAAGGAGCAGCATTCATAGCCTTCCCGAACTGTGTCATATGCAGTTTATACTCAAAAACATATAGACAAAATGAGACAAACTGTACATTTAAAAGTAAAGTACAGTAAAGTAAAACTGTCCCACTATGCACCATGTAGGCGCTTGGGGGGAGAGGGAGTATAGATTCTACTCATTCTTGACCTTGGCACTAGATGGGGATGAGTGGTCAGCATCACGCCCCAGCTGCGCTTTACCTCTGGGAAAGGACCCTGGTACCCATTGGATAGGAGGCTGGGTGGGCCCCAGAGCTGAGACACAGAGTCTAGAGGAAAAATCCCCTGCCCCTGTAGGGGATCAAACCCCGGTCATCCAGTCTGTACCCAGTCACTATACTGACTGAGCTACGCTGGCTCCCAAACTGTCCATTTAACCAACAAAGTTCCCAATCTGAATTACTGAATAACCGAGCAAAAAACTAAAAATGAAAACACTCCTTCCCCTGTAGGTATCCCCAATGACACCATAGGAGAGATTACCTACTAGAACCACATCTAAATACATATTAACTTGAGGTTAAATGCACAAGCATTTTCTCCAAGACATCACTGCTCTAACCTCAAAGCTCATAATCAGCATTAACTCAAATTATGCAGTATGTGAACAAAAGTCTGACCAATTTATTGTATCATCACACAAATAGATAAATGGGCTTCAATCTCATCCAGTCAGCATTACAATACTAGAATATATTTCAAGAAAATTTTATCAATACCGACACAATAAACATACTGAAAAAATATCACTATACTGCTCTTCACTGCTGGTGGTATAAGGTACAATGCAAATACTGAACTTTCTGCCAACTACAAACATCCTGTACAGAATAAACACAAACAAAATTTATGTCTGAACCTTGTGGTTGCCGGCAGAAAGCAATTCAAGGGGTCTCCTCTCTACAAAGATAAGGAAAAAGGTGGAAATAAATGAGGATTGAACAAGGGGAACAACATGACTCAAGACATGGATAGGCAAGTGTATAAGGCAGACAAGACATCGTGAATGAGTTCTCAAGTCTCCATAAAATTTCATAACTCAGCACTGTATGGCTCAGTGGTACCAACATCTTGCAAAGTTTAGAATTTTTCTTTCATATTTTCTGAGTACTCATGCCTCTGATCTCAGCTAAGCTTGTAGAAATTAATAAGATAACAAAGGAGAAAAATACTCTACATGTAATTTAGGAATATTATAATTATCACTGCTCCAACAACTCATTTTTTTACTATCTCAACAATGAACATCTTCTGAATGTGAAAGCCATGACTAAATTACACTCACGCCCAATCTGTACCAGCCAGTAAGGTAACACCAGTGAAATCCTTTATTCAAAAACAATGATAAAGATACTGATTTAGAAAATGAGCTCATTGCACATAATAATGATGATATAATTGTGAACAATAAAAATGAGATGATTACATGTACAGAGAATAAAGAAACTCAGTCACTTAATACTTAATGCAGTAAGTAACTGCAGTCCCATTCAGTTCTCTTCCTTGGTTCCTCTTTAACAAAATTACATGCACAGTAAACTCTCATATTTACATTCTTTAAAATATATTTTTCCCATAATTTGTGTACTTTTTTCAGTCTCACTCATTTGCCTCAGACTTCAATAGCTCCATTTCCCACAAATTATGTCATTTCATTTGAATTTCCTAGATACTGCTGCACCTGCTTTTTGTGACCGGTCAGCTTTTCTTTTCAGTCACTGGCTACTCTGACAAGCTACTCACAATCCCACAAGTATTATTTTTAGCTATCAATGTGTGATCTGTTTTAACTCAGTTGCTACTGATGTTGTTATAACCTAATGTGTCAACTGTACTGCAGTTCTTTTGTTTGAATCTGTGTTTGATATGGCATTATGGCAACACAAAAAGAAAGAAAAACTCAACACACTACAGGACTTTGACAAACAAATGGGGACTCATAATTCTTGATGAAAAAATTTGGATTACCAGTATCAGCTGCGAAACCATCACATCATTGAAAAAATGCAAATGTATGGAAGATCTCAGATAATTTTTTTAAAAATCTACTGATTTTATGCAAAAACTTTCATATTGTTATATAAATGATTTTAATTTGCATCAGATATTGTATCTTTTTAGATTCTGGGATTAATATCTTGTAAAAATGTTCATCCACTGCTTTGTAATTTACCTACATCACTTGCTGAACATTTAAATAAAGGGTTAAGGTGAAGGCACTCACTAAGTTTATGAATTTTCACTAATACCAAGAAAAATGTAAAAGAGGGATTCCACTGTACATATTTTATCAAAATCAGTAATGAAGTCAAAACAAAACTATGTACAAAATGACTAAAATTTTACAGAATTTAAATACCTGGAAATAACAATACTAAAATGACACTAAGTTCACAATGAAATTAGTAGAATATATTTGCTGGTTAATATTTATTTCAAAAGCTGTTATCATCTTTCTTGCTTTCCAAATCACTAAGGATATACATAAAATAACAGTTCTGACAGTCACTTTCAGTCTCTTACTTATTTCTGTGATGATGGATGTAGCAAGGACCTCTGAAACAATGGTAAACTTCTACCAGACTACATGGTTCTACAACCCAGAAGAAAACCACTTACAGACACTTTCATTGAAAGAAAGACTCAAATTATAAGTGCTTAAAAATAAATACAGAGCCAAGACAGACAAAGAGGACGTTACATAATGGGAAACTTCACACATGGTTTACACGGGTCACCTGGTGATGTTAGGAAAGTGAATTATATGTTACAATTAATCTGAAATGTAGCCTGGTTGGGAAGACAGGTGCATACAAAATTTTGAAAAGAAAACCCCTTACACGCAAAGTGTCCACTTGAAAAAATGAGAAGATAACATGAAGACAAATGTGAGAGAAACCGACTGGGAAAATGAGAGGTGGAACTGAATTTGGATCATGTCCTATGATGGAATTTGATGTTAAACCTCAGGTTATTAACACATTAATCTAAATTTGTGTGTCAATTACAAACTGCACATATTAGAAAAATACTGTCCTCATTTTATAATCAATGTAAGAAAAAATACAGAACACTGAAAAGCATCTGTGTGACAAAATTTGTTGAGCAATGTTATTTATTTGAAAATAACCTACCTCTTCTCCAACTGCCCAGCCCCACTGCTCTCACTGACCGAATCTTCAGAGCAGCTTGGCCTTGGTATATTAAGAGATGCACCATCACTGTTCCTCTGCCAAACAGCAGGCTGAAGTCGAAGTGATGTTGGTGTAGGAGCAGATCTTGATGTCTCCTCCCAGTCCTGTATCAAGTTCTGTGCATCACCAGAGCAGCTGTTTCTTGCAAGAGAACTCCAACTGCGCACCCTTTTCTCACGTGGTGTCCCACCAGATACACTATTCCTATAATTGGCAGACCAGAGACTAGCATTGCTGCCAGCGCGACTCAGCTGTGTTGGTACATTAATAGCCCGCCATTTTTTTCCTGTCAGGTCTGATGGTAGTACTCCTGTTCGGAAGTATAAACACCGATCGTCACTGCCTACAGCAAAAACCTGCAAAATATAAAGAACATTACTGGAGTTTTCTGGCTTCATAACAAACTGGAAGCAGCAGGGTCCATTTTTGGAAGCTGATCATCATCCAGTTTGTCAATAAACTTACAGCTACTGACAGAACCCAAATGGTTCATTACCACATTACGACAGCCTGCCACTGGACCCTATCCTGAGTTATGTGAATTCAGTTCATATAATAATGTTGTATTTGTTATAGATCCATTTCAATATGTATTTGCTCCAAGGAGCTCCACTGCTGGCTTTCTACTCAGCCCACTGTTTTTCAGTATTACAACATGGTGAAGAAATTAATGGTGAACAATTAATGACTGAAAGAATTACAAAATGTAGCTACATGCACCACCCACTGACAGAAGACAAAATGAAGTGCTCAAAGCGCTTTCTGAAAAAAGACACTTTTTGCCTTTGAATGGTGTGCTGCTGTCTGACTGGTAGCCCAAACAAAGCACCAGTCAACAGCCACAGACAGATAAAGAAGCACATGCATTACCATTATCTTCCCATCTATTCCTATATCTCTCATGTGGTTTCTTCCCTTTGGGTATTCAAACTAAAATTTTATATGCATTTATACTTTTTCTCAAGCATACATGGCCCATTTCATTCCTCTTGCATATGATTACCACAATAATATTAGTTGAAGAGTAGAATTATTAAATTCCTGATTGTGATTTTTTTTTACTCTCTTATTAAAATTTCATCCCACTTAGGTCCAAAAATTTTCAGTTCCTTATTTTCAAACATGACATACATTTATACTTTCACAAGCACTTGACACCCAAAGCCTTGAAGTTATCCCCACAACCCCTATCATCAAGCTGCAAGAACTTGCCAGTCATGCGCACACAATACATCCATCTCATATATTCTAGCAACCTTAGAAAGTGTTTCTGAAAATAAATGAACACTCTTGAAACTGGTACAAAGGACTGTAGGATCTTGTATTTTCTAGATGAGATCTATAGAGGCCTGATGCTATCCTTGCACAGCCATTGTTCAGTAGAGTCTTAAGTTCAAGAGAGTAAATAGTGGACTAGGTGGCAAGCAAGTTGTGAGTATCTTCCAGTTTAAGGAACCCGCAAGTTTTGTAACTGACAATTCATTATAACACTTTTGTACATTTAAAATGTCTATTTCTTATAGGAGATTAGAATATAAAAGGTCCTGAACTGAACAGCAGTAAGCATTTCACAAATTTAACTATCATTTCATTTCTTCATTCACATAATTCTAATTTGTTGCTAATATCTGAACAATACTAAAACTTTACATGATTTATTAGCTATTTTTAAACTGTATTATAATTCTGTCTTGTATGCTGGTGATGTGACATAAATATTTGCCTGCTATTCTCTTCATTTATTTCTAGACATGCAGTGCTGCAGAGAAAATTCCCGTCAGAATAAAGGAATGGTACTGTACTGTCCTGTAACCGTAAACAGGTCTGAATTCTCATAGCTACCTGGAATAAACTCAAAACTTATGTTTTCATGGTAGTTACCTAATATAAAGAAAAAAAGTAAAGCCATCCCACTACACACCATGTAGGTCATTTGAGGGGAGTGGAGGTATAGCTCCTACTCTTTCTTGACCTCGGCACTAGATGGGGGTGAGTGGTCAGCATCACACCCTAGCCATGCTTTATCCCTGGGAAAGGACCCTGGTACCCATTGGATAGGAGGTTGGGTGGGCCCCAAAGTTGGTCTGGACGCCAATCCTCTGCCCCCGTCGGGGATCGAACCCTGGTCGTCCAGTCCGTAGCTAGTCACTATACCGACTGAGCTATACCGGTTCCTGTTACCTAATATATATTGTAATCAGTGTTTATGCAGTGGGTGCTTAGTTCAAAAACAAAAGATAAATTTACTTGACACTACTACACTTAATTATTTCTGGGATTAATGTTTGTAACTTCACAAATCACAGTCCTGGAAATGTGGTTATAAATGTTCTCTTCTACATCATAATCCTGTTATTCCAGTCTCCTGACACTGGCTGGTTAACTGCTCACTCCTGCTATATCTCCACAATGATAGCAGGGTCCATACACATGTGAAACACTTGACCATCAACTGCCAACTCTCTACTGACATTGGTTGCTGTCTTAGCTGTTATTTCAACACTGGGCTGGCTGGAACCCAGAAGATTCCACCATCAGCTCTTGTTTGATGTCACTACAGGGAGGGGCTTGCAGCCATAATTCAGACACAGCTAGAAGCCTCCATAAAACAAGGCTGATTGCACTGCTGTAGCAGAGGTGCAGGGTTTGAGATAACATACTTAATTTGTTCAACACTGAAATATTTGAAGACAAACTAACTTACGCACACAAGGGAAAACAGGAAATGACAAGGACTCTCAAACCTAATCAGTTTACACATAATGAAAGAAAGCCAATGTGCAAGATTATTTATTTTAATTATTATACCGTCTATGAGAAAAGCACTGCTATGAGATTATTGGAGTAAACAACCAATTCTACTAAGTTATACCGATAATTATCATCTCAATTTACGCAAAATCAGCTTGGATGTTGTGGAACCAGTTTTTTGCAACCCCTGCTATATTGCACATAAATAATTATACCTGAGTATCTACAGATCACACAGTTCATGTATAAAATAAGACAGTTTAGATCACCTCAATCTGGACAAATACATGACAAGTGATGATGCTAAATTACAGCACGAGGACATAACGGCTGAAGCTTCAGGTTCAAGAAATGCCCACAAAATGAAGAAACCAAATACTGTAGTAAATTAAAATAAATATAAAAATGGTGCCTCAAATTGGAACAAATGTTATTGTGCCACCTGTTTAAAATCTGTAATGGGCTGAAAAATTTCTTTGATCTCTCAGATAGTAAATGCCCACATCTGCTCTGCAAAACATTCAACAAAGCCCTATAAAGTTTTGAAGAAAGTGGAGAATGACTGTTGCATGATGTGGAAACTGAAACTGCTTGTCACCAGTAAATCCTGCAAGCAGATTGGTGTGCAGAGACATTTTTCCCATAGAATCCCTTTATGTATGTGTAGTGTGTGTGGACAGAGGAAAACACTGCAATGGAGAGACAGTGAAGAAACTTACTATTGTGTGCTCTTTGAATTGTGAAGTAGCAGAGTTTTGGAAACTGTTTCAAGGTTTTTCACACCAAGTCAAATTACTGGGAATAATGTTATACAACAGTGACAGACTATTAGCTAAATATTTAAGAACTGTTTTATGTGTGTAAACTTCCAGTATGTCCCACAGGAAAGCTAGAATTATGAGCAGAAGAGTGAACACTTGCTATACAGAATGACATGGAACCAAAACAAGAGTACTTTCTTATTATACGTTAATACTGCTTAAATTTTCACAGAGTCAGGAATAAAAGCATATTTTTAAATTTAAAAAAAACTCAAGGGGTTCAAAAACATTATCATGCCTTCATAGTGTAAACATCTTGCATACAGTCCTGGGACATTTAAATACTGTCATTGTTAGAGGTCACATTCAATACATTCTCAAGATCAGGCAAGCAGATGAGATAAGAACTGGAATAAACAAACAAATGAGTCCTAATCACAAATATCACATACTTGATCATTTGCAGCTACAGACACTACAGCCATACTGCCGACCATCTCCACCCAGCCAGACCCTCGTGCCAGCTCCTCACTAATCCCTGCACTCTCCCCTCGCACGCCCTTACGAAACCACACACGCTGGTCTCTAGTAACTGCCCACACTGCATTTGTCCCAACAGAAACATGGGCCAACTTCAGGTCTTCTGGTGCACCCACTTCCAGCCAGAACTCCCCTGAAAATAAGAAGTGCAGATTACTATACTTTACAACACATATCATACATGCAAATATGCACCCCACACACCCATGTCCACACACACTCTCTCCCTCCCTCTCACACACACACATGCACATTCCATGGGTCCATAAGTTAGATGACAATAGGCAATAACAGTACAATACATATTACAAGTACAATTCATACTATTGCAATGATTTCATATTTTATAAACAAGGGGTTCACATAAAGCAGTGACATGTTACAAACACATTCATCCACTATATACAGTAAACAAATTATACTACCCATTTATATTATATTAAGATAAGAAAACCTCATTTAGTAAAAGAAGTGTGTAATTAAGTATCTTTCTAATACTACTTTAAATTCTGCCTTTGTATTTATAAGACTTATAAGACTTGAAGACAGACCGTTAAAATTTTTTATGCCAGTATTATCTGCACTCTTCTGAAAACATGAGAGAATGGCAATTGGTCTATGAAGCCGATTCATATTCCTTGTGTTGGTATTATGAACAGCAGAATTAGTTTGAAAATGTTCTTTGTTATTTGCAATTAAATTTACTAATGAGAATATGTATTCAAGTGGAATTGCTAAGATCTCTTATCTCATATACTGGGCAAAATAACTGACTTGGGTGTCAAATGTCGCTCACATGAAACACATTAAACTACATTTGTTGTATCTAAATTTAAGGCCAGCTTAACAGTAAAACATTTACTCATATTGGAAAGAACTATGTTTGATGTTAAAGGCTGTAGTCTTCTGGGGTCGTGGTGCCGTGTTGTCTGGTAGAAGCTTACCAATGTTTCAGAGGTCTTTACTACCTCAATCATCAGGTCACCCATCACCCTGATGATGGAGGCAGCAAGAACCTCTGAAATACTCATAAGAGAAGAAGAAACCAACAGAAATGTGGGAAATAATGGAGATCACAAAGATAACAAAGACTTGGGAGATGTACAACAGAACATAGCCAGAGATAACTTAAAGGAATAATGGTAAATAATGTGGTATAAAGTGAGGCATTTACAAATGTTTGAAAGACAAAGGCTGCCAAAACTTAAAAAAATAGTAAAGTAACAGGTCTTAAGACAGAAATAAATGGAACAATTGAAGAATTTGTGAGAGAAGATAAAACTGATATAACAGATATAAACCAGCAAAAGTTATTACAGAAAGAACCAATACTCCTGGAAAATCAGTATACAAAGACAAATAAGTAACTGGAGGTGAGAACTGTCCATATTTACAAAATCAGGCTCTGGTCCTGACAAAATATATATATATATATATAAAAAGAAGAAGAAGAAGGAAAATTTATCAGTAAAATAAAGTAATAAATGCCACTGGAATAGTGTAATTCATAGAAAAGTTAAGCAAGCAAAGACCCAAAGAATGAGAAGATATGAATAAAGGAAAACTGAGCATATCCAAAATAAAATTTTCAAGGAAAACAATTCTAGCAAAATAGGGGACCAAAAAATATAGCAATCGAAGACCACCGACAAATGGAAGAAGTTAAGCTTTACTGTGTGTCACTATGGGAATAAAAAGTGCAATACAACTAAAAGGCAGAATGGATAAAAAGAAAAGAGAAAGAAAAAATCTGATGGTATGCATTAGATGACTATAAAAATTACAGAAACCACTTCATTCTTGTCAAAAACTCACAACTGGAAGTCTTCCAGAGGCAATCAAATACCAAACTATTGGCTAGAGGCATTCCCAGCTACCTGCACTTATATAACAAAAGTCATTAACACAATAATAGAAGAATCTAAGCAAACGCCTAATTAGTGGACCACAGGAATACTTCCTAACTCAGACGATACTAAGGAACTGAATAATTATCAGCCAATTACCTGCTTATCAACGGTGTACAAAATGTTGACAGGAATAACTGCCAGAATAATCTCAGAGCACTTCAAAGAACAAAATTGAATACCAGCGGACAGACAGGATGTTATTCAGGAAGTCAAAGATGCAAGGATCAACTGCTGAAATCAGAAGCAATATTGGAGGACTGAAAGAAGAGAAGAAAGAATCTAAACCTAGCATGGATCGATTATCATAAAGCATTGGACAGTGTTCCTCAAAGCTGCATAGAAAAGTCAATACAACTGATAGAAGTGAACAATAAAACTGTTATATTCTGCAAGTTATGTATGAAGAAATGAAGCACAAAACTATGGCTATAAACAAATCCGGAATTTATGCATTCGAAACCATCATGATAAACAGAGGAATATTTCATGGTGACTCAGTGCCACCACTCCTTTTCTGCACAGAGCTTATTCCCTTAACTAATGAATTAAACAGATCTAAATGTGGGTACCAAGTATATGTGACTGAAAGGAAGATATACCTTTTGGTTTACATGGATGAGCTGAAGATGACAGGAGGAAGAATTAAGAAATGAAATCAAACTGTAAAAACATTTAATGATGACAAAAATGAAGTTTGGGTTATAAAAATATGCCTCAATTTCTTTTAAAATGGCATAGTTTATAGAAAACATCACATAGAACACACAATGGAAAATTAAATTAAAAAACTGAAACCAATGAAAGCATATAAGTATTTGGGTATGTATAAGAGAACCATAAAAATTAGAAAGAGAAGTTAAAGGGGTATGTGAGACCAAGACTTAGCTTGATTTTGAACAATGACCTGAGTGAAAAAATAAAATGCAAGAAACTGGATCATTGCTAATATACAATTTCAGAATTATTAACTTTCATGAAGAAGAAATACGAAAAATGGACAAAAACAAGAAAAATGCTAGCCATCCGTGACAGCTTCACCCAAGATCAGACATTCATCACTTGCACGTTCCCAGAAAAGGGGGACGAAGAGGATTGATGCACGTGGAAGGAGCCTACATGGCACAAACCATTAAACTGATGGCTTATGTAGACAGTCAAGAAGATCCACTGATACAAATTGTAAAGACCCACCTACATAATGCAGATTCAACACTATTTGAAACAGTTAAGAAATTTAATAAAGTCTTTCAAAGAGAAAAAAGCAAATCAAAACAGTAATAGCAGAAAAGTTGTGAAAGGAAATATATATTCATGACCTTCAGAATAAATAAGCAGTTCCAATGTTTCTGAACAGCACAAAAATTATGTACATTCACTATATTATTACCTGTAGGATTTTCTCTAGTAACTCCAGCTCTGACCAGTGCACGCCCATTCCACAGAACAGCCCAAACAAGACCTGTTGGACCAATGCTAATCTGGTTGACTTCACAACCTGGTGGCACTGTAATTGAAGTCCATCTCAAACCTTCTGGTGCAGTCGTGCTAACTCCAGTTCGAAACATCACCTGGCACACACATCAGAGAATGTTATATACTGCATTCATGTATTTAAGCAATGGCAGGCTTCAGTGAAAATGATAAGAAATGTCAAGTTCCATGAAAAGTGAGAAAACGTTAACAAGCTAAGCAAGTATCACATTCTCAGGACCTACACTGCCCCATGGATCACAGCTTATGATGTTCATTTTTAGGGATATATTTGTAATTATTCTCTTATAAAAGGTGTCAAAATACTGTACAATTCATATCAAAATAATCTCTTCTACAAAATGATCATTGACATACTAAAAATTTGAAATTATCAGATGATAAATTGCACAACACTAAACTAGTAACTGCACTGCAATGCATTCAATACCAGCCTGCAGCAGTATTTCCTGTGTCTGGCAAGTTGAAAAGCTTTGTTATTACACCATACGTGTTTCCATTATCCTAAAACTATAAAAGTAAAATTACATTTTGTGATTACTCACCCGACCATGGGCAGTTATTGCCCACACTAAGAGATTGCTGGGATTCCCACCAGGCACACACTGACCGCCCACTGCCACACCAATGAATGGTTCCTGCATTTGTAAATAAGCAACATTCAATATTACTGCAAGCAATTAAATAAGAGATATCATTAATTTTAATTCAACAAATGGCAAATGCAATCATCTTAATCCCTGACCACTCCCCTGAAGAATCCATTCCTTAATGCAATGAGTACTGTCAAAATAACATTCAGACAACTGTTATTCCTATTAGCACTGTTGTTGCTGGTACTGCTGTAGCAAGCTCACTGAAATTCGAAGAGTAAAATTTCTTTCATATCTTAATCCTGTGCCCTGTTCATTCCTCTTCATTATCCCTTTTGTACATTTAACTCCTTCCCTTCATTCCTTTTCATATTCTTTCGTCTGTCCACCTTACCATCATTCCTTTCCCAATTTTCTCCATCTGTGCACCCTACTGCCATTCCTCTCCCATACTTTACTCCATCCCTTCATCTCTTTCCCACCAAAATATACAATTACACAAGAACAATATAAGAATAAAAAATGCTACACATTACATTATTTGAACACTTTCTGCAAGGTCCACACCTATTTCAAAAGAAAGCAAACACGCACAAAGGCATGAAGCTGTGTTGTATGTAACACAGGTATTATTGCTGGAACAGTTGTTGCATTGGTCTGAAGTTTAATTTCCTCTCTTTATCCCCTCAACTTGTATCTTTCTCTGATATAGTATGTGGCAAAAAATCAGAAGTATAGTAGGTTTAAAGAGTATAGGCAGTCAAGTATCCTCAGTGGTATGAAGCATACAAATTTCTCCATCCCTGGCTATTACTGTTAATGTGTTAATGGCAGGAACCAAAGAAGATAACATGAAGATTTAATTCTACTTCTTTTGTATGTGATGAGAAGTGAAGTATGGCAGAGGCTCATTGCACAGATAAGTTGCACTGCTTTCCTGTCCAGCTGGACAAGAGAGTAACTGCTATTACTACTGTTCTCAAACATGCACACCATAAACCTTACCAACCAACCAAAAAGCTAGCTGAGGGCGGAGGCCTGCGCAAGCGCAAGCATCGTCCCTACCTAGGTGAAACCATTCCTGCGCACAAGGCGCATTGCTGGAAATGCTAAACGGTCTTAATATAAAAAACGGAAATTTTGCTAACGCTAACGGGGTTTCGTCGTGGCGGGAGCCTCGACCATTCAAACTGGGATCTGTTGCTGCTGATGGGAGGTAATCCCGTCAGGCAAGTTGTCCAAAGGAATTTGGTTGGTTGGATCTCTGGGGTTTGAACCCAGAGAGGGAGGGGCCGTTTCGGCTGAAGGCCTCTGCG